CCTCCACTTCAGGCAATCGACGAGAAGGCGTACTACTTCCACTCCCGGACCAAGAGGAGCGACGCAACCCCCCCAGAAATGCTGGAGCTCATGGGAACATTCTGGCACACCGACGAGGTATCTGGTGCATCGGGGAACTCAAAGGACATCTGGCGGGAATCCAAGTCGCCCAGTGCGAAAGGACACCCTCGTCGGCAGCTCATCGTGGAGGGACAGGGTGAGGCAGTCTACGAAAAGTTCTTGGTGTGGCCAGGTTGGATCAACTTCAAGAGGGTCAGGAAGGAGGAGAACGGCGAGGTCCTGGCGGACCCCGGCCGCACTCTGTTCCTCTCGACGCGTTGCAGGTGCTTGACTTCCCCGAAGACAGACCAGTGCGCGTGCAAGATCCACACGCAGGAAGGGTGAGGGGAAGCGTTCAAGGAGGCAAGGCGCCCTCCGTGGCGAGGAAGAAGAGGAGGGGCGGGCGGCAGAGGCGGGGGGCGGCTCTGACGGCATCAGGAGGAGCAGGAGGACGACCGCTGTAAGTGTGAGGCATATCGCCCTCCTTGGCGGGAACTTGAAGGGCGGGGGCGGGGGGGCTAGAGCGAGCAGCGAGGAAGAGTCGTCGGAGGAGTCCGAAGAGGAAGATAGTTCCGCGAATGAGGAGGACGACGAGGACGACGAGCACGACGAGGGGGAGGGGGAGGAAGAGAATGGCGGGGAAGAGAGGGGGGAGGAAGGTCCGACTCTGGCGAAAGAGACGGTTTGTGTCGAGAAGGTGGTTCTCCGGCACAAACTGCACACCGATTCGGCCTCTTGTTTTTGCTCTTGCCTGTCGCGTGCATGAGTACGAGCGGTGCTATACCAGGAGCAAGTACCCGGCCTGCGGCACGAAGCTCGAAGAGCAGGTAGTACAGGAGACAGTCATCATGGTCACTGGTGTAGATCCTGTGGTTGGGGTGGATTCTGTGGTCGGGAGCAAAAAGGAGGCGAAGAAAATTGTTTTCCGGAAGGGGACGAACACCTGTCAGATGGACAGGGTTACCGGTACACAGTTTGGGGTCTCATTCTGCGGTAGCAGCAAGTAGATATTGATTAAGGGGCTGGGTGATGGTGCGTTCAAATCTTGGTTTGCATTTTTGCTGTATGTTTGTGAAGATAAGCGCGTGGTTTGGTGAAGATTGTGCGTGTTGCGACTTGTAAACTTGCAGTTTTTCTGTCGTGTTTCAATCGACGGCGGCGAGAAAAGTGTAACGTACAACACCCATGATAACTTTGTTCAGAATGCGAGAAAAATAAATTCAACGACGGATTCGTGATCCCCGCCTCAATATTGACGAAACCCTGAATTTTTCAGATCGATCTGACAATTTTTCAAAACCGGGGGTATTTGGCACCATCCCCGATCTATGCGTTTTCGCAAATGGGCGATCGAAAATGAGCAAAGTCCATTGAAACCCGGCTACTACCATCGAGTTTGTTTTTTAAATTTTGCATATCATCCTATGTATGATGTAGGATCATTGTGTTAAATTTTCAAGGGTTCGGGGGGATGGTGACCATCCGTCCCCCCCCCCCCAAAAAAAAAATCGTTTATACCGCGGAACCCGCCCTTAGTGTTTCTTGGGATATACATGGTGGATCCATGTTTTGGGAACGAACACAGGACCCAGGGAATTCACGAATTCAGCCATCAGCAAGTGGGACCGGGACGAAAGTCATGTTAACACAGGCAGGCACCATGGCACATTTTTGGTTGGTCTTACACTTCACTGTACGCGCTCAGTCAGTGCGACTGCAAGTGCAATACATTGTAGACGAGAGCTGGGTGGATTCTTATTGCGCATATGAATAGAAGGACTGTACGTGCAGCAGAATACAGCAGTAGCGGGTGGAACAAGAGAAGAGAGCACACAGTACAACAGGAAAATGCGTGGCGTTGGATAGATTGTGTGCATCTCAAAATCTGCGGCGGGTCATGGGGCCATCCATATATCAACATTCTATTTGTTCCTCCGTTGTCTTTCTGTTGTTGCTTCGGTGGCGGCATCTAAAGCACTTCTGGTAGAGTAGGGTCTCGTAGAATACTGACCCCGTTCTTGTTGTTGATGTGTCTTGTGTGCGCTATGCACGTCTTCGAAAAAAAAAAGTCTTGACACGTGTGCACACCTCAACTGTATCCGAACGTAGGTATTGTCTAAACGAACATCCCTCAAAACTGGCAAAATTGAACCCTACCCGCTGCGTAAGAGCCCCACCCCCCCGCTCCCCTAGCAAAAAGAGGGATAGAGCGAGTCGGGGATAACGGGCCATAAATATAATGCTATGACTCCACCAGTCTCCAAACCTGTCTACCCCTAACCACCTACACCCGCTACTCGGTTTTCCTCCCACTTGCAAAAAAAAGGAGAGAGAGAAAAAAAAAGAAAAATGACACCACGGAACCCCCCCCCGTCCGGTGGAACTAGTCGGTGATCCACACGCTGTTGAGGAGCTTGACCACCTCGCCGTAGAGCGACATGGTGATTGCCACCTCGCACATGACCCTAGTCAGTCGGGGCGCCATGCCGCGGTAGAAGGACGTGATGCCCTCGTTCTTGAGCATCTCACTCGCGCAGTGAAGAGTCGACCTGTACTGGGCGGACTCCAGCCCCTGCATCCGGCTCTTCACCACGTCAATACCCTGCACAACGACAACCAAGCAGTTGGCGTTTGAAATGTGGTGGTGTGTAGGTACGCAACAAGACAAAACACACGCCCAGTCCGACAGACCGACATATTCAAGGTTGGGAAGAGGACGTAGCCCCTCTGGTTTTGTCGTCACGCAAAGACAAAAACAAAAATAAAATTACTTGGCAACAACACAATACTTCGAAGCGGTACCAAAGAACCAAACCACACCCTCAGCTGGGCTACCAATGAAACCCAATAACCCTATAACTTGTGCCGGTGTCGCTGCAATAAAATCAGGAGACGAAAAAATAACGCCACCCCCTTCCCCCCCCAAAACAAGCAAAAACACGATAGAGATGGGTTTTCTGCACGTGTCACATCAAGAAAAAAAAAAATGCCACCCACCTGGAAAGCGAACACCGATACCGCACCGGCCGTAGCCCCAGCCGCGGCCGACTTTACGGGAGAGTCCTTCCCGTAGTAGGGGGAAGACTTGAGCACCTGGAACACTCCGAAGCGGGTGGCCTGAGCGGTGGAAACCTTGAGCACCGTCGGCAACCATCCCTTGTAGATGCTGCGAGGATTGGAAACAGTGGGAGGGGCACGCGGGGGGTGGGGGTAGGGGGTCCACATGTAAACGCATGCCGTAGACCTTTTGACCTAAGCGGTGAGGGGGGGGGGGTCATGTAAACGCATGCTATTTGCGGGTAAGCCGTTGACCTTGCATCCCGACAATGCCGGGACGGAGCAATATGCCATGGGAGGGGGGGAGGGTCACTACAAGCATGGTGCCGTCTTCGATGGACATGTATGTACGCTATGTACCGCCGCATCTCTGGCGTTTGCGGGGATCCCTCGAAACAGCTGAAAAATGATACCACTGATGGACGCTGCGCGATTCGTCTCAAGGTCCCAGAGAAATGCGGTTCGATGAAATTCAACCGCACTACTGAGGGGCCGTTGCACTATTGAGGACTGGACCTTCCATAGCTTTTGGTAGAGTCAGCAATACGTTGTCAAGCAACTTTGATGGCACAATATCTCGTACACAGCATTCGACTAAACGAATAAAATACCATGTTTGTTGTCAACAGGAGTCGCTCAAGATACAGGAGGAGGGAAACAACTGGCAGGTAGGCGATGTGCTAGGCAGCGCCACCTCTTAATACCGTTCTTGAGACCGGGGCTCGTATTGTTCCTTCGCCTCATACAAAAAAAAAACGCCTCTTTCGCTTGTGCCTTAAATCGGGGCACCTCTTGTTGGAGTCTTGGCTCTGTGAAAGCGCCACCGCAACCCCTATCCACGACCACCACAATCACATTCGAAAAAACAAAGGATTGCTCACGGAGTAGAACCGCACCGCGTAACGTTTTTTTTTCCCGATATATTCACCTCGCCGGAGCGGTGATTGTCTCTTGAAAGAAATCACGGAGCACTCCGCCCCGCTCCGTAGAAAAATCGCTCCGTGAACGACCCCGAAAACCACTGAACTCACCCCGAAAACCCAGACTCCGCGACGATGGTCTTGACTCCGTGGAAGAAGTTCCTGTAGAGCGGCTTCTCCCTACTGAACTGGTCGTCGATCAGCTTGATCTTAATCGTCTCCTGGGCCGTGGTTACTAACGTCGCCTCGGCGGCACCGGCTCCCAGTCCGGCTACGAAACCCTTGGCCTGAAAACAAATACAAATACGCAGCAACGGATGGAAGGTGGAAGAAGAAAAATGTTAAGCATAGCTTTGTTTCTACAGGGGCTAAGAAATGTCGGGGTGGGCGAGGGGAGATGGAGAGCCGGCAAGGCTTTTTGCACGTGTGCGGTGTATTGTTTCGTGACTCCGGTTGATAAGTGAGAAAATGTACACAGGTGTGGAGAACTGGTGCCAGAATAGACAAGGCCAACGCACACACCAAGACTGACGTATATTCCTTGGCCAGCCGCTTAGCGCATCAGTGCAAAAATAAAACCACACACACACACACACACACACCAGCCGATTAGCCCGGTCGATGCTAACAATAAAAACATACACATACAAAACACACCCGCAACCACCGCCAACAACAACTTCAAGTGCTGCACTCACCGCTCCCAGGCCGTACTTGTCTGCCCCGTCCGGAGTGCTCAGCAGCCCGGAGCAGAACTCGAAGGCGCCGAAACGGATGGCGGCCTTGGGCGCGGCAAAGTAGACCATCGAAGAAAGACCGCGGTAGAACCCGGTAAATCCCGTGTTTTTTACCGTATTTCTCATCACGGACCCGTACGTCACATTCGGGTCCTGTCGAGGCATGAGGCGGGACGGGAGTGGGGCGGGTGTAAGGATATGCAGGCGAGGCGCAATCTGGAAGACCCGTCAAGAAGAACTCACTTGTTGTTATTAACTCGTGCGGAACAGCAGCTGTTGCTGCTGCTGCCTTCGGTAAAGGTAGAGAACGATCAACAGTGGGGGACGGTTCCGCTGCTCAAGTAAGGGCTACTAGATCCTGTCCCCTGTTTGACCCTTCCGCGGGGAGTTATATCTCCCCGAACCTTCTAGAAGGAATCATGATCTTCTAAGTTCCGCCTGCACATCTAAACCATGTAACATGGGGCGGCGGAGGAAAGGCATAGGTGCATGAGCCCCCAAACACTTGAGACAAGTAGATTTGGATCGTTTTACGTACATGTGCATATCGCGTGCAGCAAAACTTGATAGTTGTCATCATTCGGGAACCACAGGTTAGGGCATACACACCGCTTGAGGGACCGATAGTTCAGAGTGAATACGGTTGGGTTGAACTCATTCAAAATTGACACCTGTTACCCGCAGGTTTCTTTCCCCACTGACTGCGATGCGAAGACACATTCCCTTCGACTGGGGTATTATCTCGAACGGGTAGACCTTTGTCGTGATTGTGTATTATCAGTGAAAGTCGAGTTGCACCACCACCTCGGGGGGAGGGGGGCGAGCATGGTATATTTGATGTCGGTGACGTGCATCAATACTATCTCGAGAGACCCCGGCAAGTACAAGTCTTGGCGTTTCGGCACATGAAGCGACCACAGCAGAATATAGCACCAACGGCGCCAAGAAAACAGAACGAAGTGTAGATGTAACTACCTTGAAAAAAAAGGCGGATGTTCTTGCTGTGCAGTTAACACCAGCGGGGAGGCATGTACGTAACGAGCGGGTGTTCGGTCCATGAGGCGTTTTAGAAAAAACGTTCGTGCTCATAAATATTAGATGGAACGATGGTGCTTCGTAGGCCTTGATCCCGTCCCTCTCAGCAGTGATGTCTGTGCTGCGGGTCAGCAAGATAGCTTGGGCATCTTGTGGGTATCTACACAGCAGTATCTGTTTTTGCGCGAGTGGGATGATATGTGCGTACAAATACTTGTAGCTATGAATTTCGACTACTGTTGCGCTCACAAAGCACGTTTGCATATTAGAGTAAATGTGCCGATTAAGGACCACTTAACGGAGCCCCCGCTCTGAGAGGTCGTTCTCGGGTGTCTTGACGATTTGTGGCGACAGAGAGGTATCGAACGTTAGCTTATAACACGATCTAAACGATGAAAAAACAAAAAACAAAAAAAGTGCATGTGGTGATGACATGGTGCCAGCGTAGTATTCTTCATTTGTCAGGGGAAAATACCGGTAAAACACAAATGCCCCGATTAAGGACCACTTCGAATTCGTAGTGATTGCGCACGTTCTAATGATTTCCAGAACTTTTCCTCTGGCAAGTATCGTTATGGTAGTAATACAAAGCATTTCCGAAAATAATATTAAAAAAAAAATGCATGCCCGGGGACAAAAACAAGAAATCCCCGTGGTTTTTTGCCTGTTTTTGGGCCAAAAATGGTTACAGTTAGGGGTGTCAAAGCGGCGGAATTTGGGGCCAAAAAAACGTCCGGTCCATTCGGCAAAATTTGAGGGGGGCACGCGGATTTGGTTCTTTTTTGGTTCTTGAGAATCCCGCTGTTAATACTGAATAAACTATACATCAAGTCAATTTGTTTGTACAGGTAGCTCTGCGTCCACACAGCAGGATGGCTCTTCATGCGTTACACACACCTTGATACAGGTCCAATAGAGGTGACTATTGGATTGGATTCTCTTGAAGTTAAAGGGCGGACGAACAACACCAAAAAAACATGGTTCTTTGGGCTCTTTGCTCCACGCCCAAGGCGACCTTTGCTCCTCTTGAAAAAGCGACCCAATAGCCCTCTACCTTGGGTTTACAGCTATACTACACAACAAACCGCATCCGAATCGCATCAGCCAACCACGAGATCTACTTGTCTGAAAACGGCCCCTCCAGGGGGGCTGCAGTGCCCACACCAGCAGACCCTCCCAAAAAAAAAATCGAGGTCCGCGCCGTTCGGCAGCAGGAGGCGCGCTGCGCGAAAGCTGAATCAA